GGAAGGATACATTCATTAATAGAAAGCGAGTTCTTTTTCGACTTTAAGATACGTGATAGTTGGTAATTATTATTAATTTCTAGTAAAATCCAGAGTAATAGTTACTGTGACCGTTATTATTATTGTTATTAACATTATCATAAGTTCAGAAAGTAACCCATAATTAATAATGGTAATAAGACCGAGGTGAATCCAATTCGGTCTGCTATCATACGAGTGATTAAAAAATCAGACGGCCACCAAGCGGGAGTCCGATTTGTTTGTCACGAAACTCCCCTGTTTGGTTGGGTAAAATGGTTGTTGCTATTGTTCTGTGATCAGTTCTGTGTTTGGTGGATTTGACTGAGTGGGTAAAGTAGGATTGGCTGCTTTAACTGTCCGATTACAGGTGTCCAATTACAGCCAACTGTCCGATTACAAATCTACGGAAAAATTGTGAAATATAAAGCGCCTAGTGCATCAATAACTTTTAACGAAAACTGTAATTGTTATGATTAATTAAGTAAATGTGTCACATAATACACAGCTCATTGAGAGTTTCATTGCAAATTATATCGTTAGAAGAAATTAATTTATTCTACTCGATTGCACTGAGGAAGAGCATCAATTTAGATGCATTTCAGCTTGTTTAATTTGTCTGTTTAGTCGTTGACTTTGATTGCACAGTGTACTTACGCTAGAGGTTATGGTGTATATACCAGCAGCGGATATGTCCCTGGCTAATCCAAAGTCTCCAACTTTAGCCACCAAGTTGGCATCAACTAAAATATTCCTCGCTGCTAGGTCGCGATGGACAAACTGTAAGAGAAGACAATGTATAATTTTTTTGCTTAGAGACGCTCAATGATTGAGTGGCCTATACGAAAGTGTGAAAGATCCTCATTGTGTCCTGAAGCCAATTTACAAGCTGAGATTGCCTGCGTTATAAACACAGGCTTAACAAAGACTCACGAATGATTGGGTGGCCTATAAAAAAATGCAAAAGATCCTGAATGTGTCCTTAAGCCACTTCACAACTTCGAACTGCTCGCGTTATATTTAGTGCAGCAAGAGATTATAAACTGTTTGTAATCTATTGAGAGCAGCCATCTCTAATGGAAGTTTGACAAATTTAACATGACATTTATTTCTACACACTGCTAGCGAGTCTTACCTTTCTCTCCTCTAAGTGTTGCATTCCGGTGGCGATTTGAAATGCAATTATGACCAGTTGCCGGTCATTCAGCTTACAGCAGACGTTATGATAATTGTTCCTTTCCCCTGGTGCCCTCAAAAGATTTTCCAGACTGCCACCATGAATCACTTCAGTGACCACAAGAACGTTTCCTTGTGAGAGTAGAGCAAACACATTAGAGTTGACAAGAGAAAGAAATTAGACATTATTGTCACCTTGAGTTGATCAAAAGATGATTTGTTGGTGATTCAAGTTTAGTTGGTGGCCAAAAAAACAGGAAAAATTCCATATGAACTTCCGCGAAGTTAAACCTGAAAAATGTTCTTATCTTTCTTTAATCATAAGGTCAGTACCTGCACTGTTCTAACTGACCTTACAGACGGCTGAAACGTTACCTTGTTACTGTCAATCACCCAGTAAACATGCATATTTCTAAGACGTTGCATCGTTGAAAACTGACTTACCTCTCTCTATCCTTGTCCCAATCAAAGTGACAATATTGGGATGTTTCCCAGCTTGCTTTAAGGTCCTTATCTCATTAAGCAGGGTTTCTTTGGCAATGGCACTAGGGTCTATAATGAAATAGAGAAAAAAAAAAAGGGAATTTCTTAAATTGCTTCATTTTACGTAGTTCGCTCATCGTATTTAGCTATGGTAACAAAATTATGAATGGAAAAAAAACTGGCTTGGTTAAGGCTGTAGAAAGCGTTCAGAGGAGACAATAGCAGACTTTATGGCTGTTTTTCACCACAAGAAAAATGGTGAAAAATTAAGATGGTGCTTGGCTTCGAAAAAGAAAAATCAGTTTAGAGATATACCACTGTACTTAGGAAATAAAAAGTAGACATTTCGATTCGTGTACCTACCTTTTAACTTCTTCACAGCTACATCCGTTATGTTTCCATCTTTCCCACTATATCGACCTTTGTAGACGATTCCAAATTCGCCTTCTCCGAGTATTTCATCGAACACTTCAAGATTTTCCAAGTTTTCGGATCCTTCCTCGGTCTCTTCAGATATCTCTCCACAATCCCGCTGTTCGTCGACACTCAGGTGTTTGTCAGGTGTGAAAATGTCAGCATCAGCTATCCCCTCACCCGACTCTAATCTCTCTTGGCCTCTTTCCTTTATACCTAGCACCAAATTATCCTGCTCGCTTCCGTCTGGAGGCAGTCTGTCCCCTACTCCATCTCCCACTAACGGGAGTCTTTCCACGGGGGTCTCGATGGTTTGGGTATTGGGCGACCGATTGTTTTCAAGGTCCTGTATCCCATCTTTTAAATGTTTGTCTTTTATCAAATACAACTTTCTTGTTCGTTTTCTTCCCTGTCATATAATTGAAGAGAATAGGCAATTGTGATATTTATCCAAGAAGCGTGTTTAGCTTTTATCATCATCAGCGACTGCTTTGGATGCGTCCTTTTCATTTCTTTCCACGTCGCGAAGGTGTTCTCTGACACTTGTCCTTTCATTCATAACGTAGAGAAAATATCGGGACCCAAGAGATCCATTAAGATCACTGATCACTTTACGTGTACCTCCGCCAATGTTATTTACTGCATAACCTGCACTTATTGAAATAGGTTATGCATTGGCGAAACAGGTGACCGATTCCGAGAACACCCTCGCGACGTGGAAAGAAATGACAAGGACGCATCCAAACCAGTCGCTAGACACTTTAATCTCCCTAATCATTCTAAAAAGTATATGGTAGTTTGCGGCCTTTCCTTGTGTGTAGGCAGTTCGGAAAGCCGCAAAACACTATCACAAAAATTTATCTTCCAAATCGGCACTCTTAATCCCCAAGGAATCAACGAGTGCTTTTCATTCAATTAATTTATTCCTGTTTTCTCGTCACCATATTCTCACCAATCGCGTAGCTCCACTTTCTGCATGTAAATCCACACACAACCCACAATTCCTCCAATGGCTCTGACGCTCAAAACGTTTTTTTTTTACCCTTTACGGTGGCCAATTCACGTTTTCAACTCAGTTGTTAACACTAAATTACCTGCTATACTCTCCTACCGACGCAGCACCACAGTTTCTGTAGAAACTTACCCCCTTTATTCATTGGCTAAATAAGGCCAAACTGACGAAAATAATCATTAAAGGGAAAAGAGTTCGTAATAATAACAAAAACAATAATAATAGTTATGATAAATTTGGGAAGTTTTTCTCGACTCTGCATCTTACCCCCCGAGGAAAATGCATGATTCTTGGCTGGTCAATCTCAGCATTCCTCTGGACGTCAGCACAAGCAAAGTCGCATGACGGACAGAGATCATTACCCTGTGTGGGGATGTCACGTAACATTTTATTTACCTCTTTATCACGATTTTTACACCAAATCCACACAAACCCAGTGACTGCACAAATAACTGCAGCTGCCAAAGTGCATGATACAGCGACTATAGTTGTCTTTGATGCTGAATTTTTTGGCTTTCCGTTCATGGAGGTGGGAGTGGGAGTTGCTGTGGATGAATGATAAAAAAATGTAGTAACAAACAGGTTGCTCTTATCAACAGCACACGTAGTCAAGAAGGATCCCTCTTACCCTATTTTTTTCCCTTCCATTGAAAAAAAATCGTACTTTTTTTCAAGACAGCCACTCCTGATTGGCTTCTTCCAATGCTATTATTTGCAATGCATTGATATTTTCCATAGTCTTCCATCTCTACTCTCGTTATAAAAAGCTGGCTGCGATTGGTTCGCCCGTCTGGAATTACATGTGCTCTGGGGTTAGAATGTAAAGGATATGAAGCATTGTCCTTTATCCAGTGGATTGTTGGCCTTGGGAGACCCCTAGCAGTGCAGCTTAAGGTAGCATTGGAACCGATCAGGACACTTTGGTTCTTTGGACATTCAACGATCTCAGGTTTCTGGGCATCTGAAAATTGACAAAGAAAGAATTTCAAGACCCGGTTTGAGGAGGATTGAACCTAATGGGGAGTCTCTGATGATAAGAGGACTGAGAAGGTACAGGGACCGGGTGAAAGTGAAATAATAACTTTAAAATTTTGTATAAACATTTAACAGAAAACACTGTTTATTTTCTAGCTCTTGATACTCTAATGACACTCCAAGAGTTTTTTTTTACAATCTACGGAAATGTACATCAAGAAGTAATCATCCAAAAACCGAGCCTATCTCGCTTACTTGGTGTTGGGGAACTTCAGTTGGGAGGCTGAGTTGACATACAAGTGGAAGACTTCGTGGGCTTTCAACTTTGAAATGATAACGAAGACAAACACGAATGCATATTCATGTCTAACCTGAAACTTTCGAGGATAAGAAAGCTGGCAACGACAAATTTTTACCACCACTGTTTTTTGCCTCACATTGATATTTGCCAAAATCTTCTTTCTTCACTCCTGTAATAAACAACTGGCTTTGCATGGTTTTTTGGATTGTTGATGAATGAGGATTATTGATGAATATCGCCCTTGGGTTGGACTGTAGGGCAATTGAGTCATTGTCTTTTATCCATGAGATGCTTGTCCCAGGAAGACCTGTGGCAGTGCAGTTGAAAGTTACATTGGCCCCTATATCAGTGCTTTGGTTCCTAGGAACTCCTACTAACTCTGGCGCAGGACCTGTAGGGAAAAAGTACTAATTGCAATAGATATCCCCAGATTAAACGTGAACCTCAAAAATTGAGGTTGTTAAGTATTCACATATTCAGGCTATTGTTCTTTCTCATTACTTATTCATTCCGATGAGTTTGCCGACATGCCGGCATGCTTCCGAAGATCGTGAAGAGCGCAACTTCTCTGATGTAGGTGATATATTTTTCTTTTGTTAACAGATGAAATAAACTCTCCCGGGAATCTGCTTGATTGATGTCTAATAATTGCTACGCATTCCGGTGTGTCGGGCAACATGTCAAAGACATCAACCTCGGATCAAACCCAAGCACTTATCAGCTTATCAGCTCACGCACGATAAAACTAAAACAAACTAAAGATGAAAACCGTGCCATGTGTACAGATCGATGATCGGTTGATCGTTTCTAAAAAAGTAATCTTTACAACTTCTTACCTTGTTGTTTGCAAAACGGCGTGGAATAAGCGTTTCTTCTGGCGTTACTTTCCTGATCTCGGACGGGGCAATGATCTCCCAATCCCACTCGGCTCTCCACGGAGGAAAATTTATAACAATTGCGTTGTCCGATTTGCTGACAACTTTCGCTTTTGTCCAAATTCCTAACTGATCGTCAGCTTCGACAGAATCGCCAACACTAAACTCCATCGCGACAATAAACAACACGTTCAGATCACAACAAGTTCATTCGAACAAGACGAAAGTTGTGAAAGAATGAACCGCCAGCGCGCGAACACGAGCACTATTTATGACACGCAATATTTACATAATAAAGAAGTAGTTTAATTCAAGTGCACTCATTCGGATCAAAACAAAACAGATGCATTTCTTTTCAATCGACAGACAAAAGCTGGTTTGGTAATACGTACATCAACTTGAAAGTTCATTCATCTCAAGACAATGTAAACAAAAGGATACAAGATCACGAGTCTGTTCGCGCAAGGTAGCTTAATTACACTATTGTCCAAGTCTTTTGAAGTACCTTCCGCAGTTCCTTTGGTCTTCTTCCAAAATATCTCACCTTCTTCGAAACGAATAAAACCGAAATCATTCGACACGTTTTCGGCAGCCACCGAAAGTAATGCCCAAAGGAATAAACCGAGCCTTCGAGGTAAAAAATCCAGCGGTGTCACCCATTTCAGTAAGTCACAAATAATCCGGGCTGGGGTCGTAATGTGGTATGAAGCTTATTCAATAAGCAAATGACGGCAGAATGAGAAGATATTTTCACTGTCACATTTTTGTGCCGCACAACAAGATGAACTGCATATGCAGGTACTAAGAAGGAACTACTTCAGGCCAACCCTCCCTGGCCGGAGTGTGAACCTCTTCTTTTATTCATTCTAATAATTATCATTCGTTTATTTTTGTTTCACAAAATAATTCTTTTCTCATCTTCCGAAGAATATGTTGGGTTTTTTTTGCTTCAGCATTGCCAGCACCGTATTCAGCGATCACCCCTGTATTAAGCAGTCAGTTGCATTTAATTTAACATCATTTGTTGTGATCAATATAATCTTTAAGCTCAACGTAACTAATAATAGAAAGTATTTTTTTACTGAATTTTCTAATGAGTAAACATCACAACGTTTGCTATAGACATCATGGTGCTGACTATACACTTTGGACAGTGATCCAGTTTACAGCGTTTATCTTATCTTATCATAATAAGATACAACAATGCAAAGAGGTTGTAAACTATAAAGTTTACAGCCTCTTTGCATTCTTGTATCTTATCATGACTGAAGCCTCAAGGAAGGCAAAAGTTGCTCCAGGTTGCTCGCAGTACAAAAAGTTGCTGAAAACGCTAAAAGTTGCTCAAAAGTTGCCGAGCACAATCTATTAATCCCTAATGACCACAGCGTAATTTTCCTTTTGCAATGAATTATGTATTGGACTTTCCTTTCCATACATTCCAGGAGTTTCTTAGAAGCTGATTATTTGGGGCTCCTTATTCCTGAATGAAACATTTTCGGCAGTCATCTTCGTATTATCAAAAACTGGATCATTGGATAATGCAATTTAAAAGTTTTCATGACTTAGCCATTATAGGTTATGGGTCATTATACCATGTGCACACATGAAGACGAGTTACACCGGAAGCGTATTTGTACATTGTAACATTCCGTTTGTTCTTGCAAAATAAAGTTGGGAGGATTTATGTATATATGTCCTGGCGCGTTTTTGATTCAATCATTATTCCACTCGCGCTTGTTGAATACGAGATGATAGCCAACTCGGCCCTATGAGCCTCGTTGGTCATCTATCATCGCATATCCAACAAGCGCGAGTGTAAAAATTGTTTAATGAAGGTATGATAAGCCTGGTTTCTTACCTTGAATCAATATTTCGAATGATTTCCTTGTGCAGTGTTTTATGTAACCATTGCCAGCTTGGCAGGTGTAGCGGCCAATTTTGTCAACTGTCAGATTTTTAAGCACTAATGGACAGGTTAATTTAAGTTTGTATGCCCGTTTGTTTGAAGGCTGCTTGCATTTAGCTCCAACTTCATTATCCTGTGGATCGTACCACTCGATATAATTGACCCATCTATCCAGATATACTTTATCTTCTGTTCTTGGCTCCGCTGTACAATTCAGGGTAATGGAGGCACCAATGGGTAATCTGCTATTTTCTGGACTTGAAAAGATGTACACAACGGGTCTGACTGGGTTGGAGGGATTGAATAATAATAATAATAATAATAAATTTAATATACAATCTCTTTATCGCCCATCAGACAATGAGAAAGATTTTTGATAAATCCATCTTAAAAATCTAGTAAGTGTAGTTCACAAACTCTTGACCGATCAAGAGTTTTAATGCAGCTTTTTAATATTAATTTTTACCTTTTATGTTCCAACTGAAGAGGACCGAAGGCCGAAACGTTGTCTATTTAAACGCTGGATTAGTCAAGAATTTATCTTCGTCCTTTCTTATCTACACATGTTAAATATTTTGATGAAGATGCCTGCATCCTCTAGATCCTCTGACTGGGAGCTGTTTGTTTGGTAGCCATTTTAAACTTTCTGTACACACACATTCATTTATTGTGCATACAAGAAAGACATTCGCATAAACATGCTCTTTGACCAGGACATTTAGAAGAAGTTAACACTACTTACTGTTGAGATTTGGATTGCATGTTTCACCTTTGACGAATGGAAGATTCCATAAAGCGCAGGTAAGAGTAAATAGTACTAAACGCATTGACGCTTCTCGAAGCCAAAAATTACCCATCATCATGACACGTTGACACATTTTTTGTTTGGATGTTTGAAATGGCCTGCAAATGGATTGTTTATTCAAATTAAATAAGTTATTTTCTAGAGAAACGTCGTAAACTAAGGCCATAAGTCGAACTAGGTTATCATTAACCTATTGTATCTAAATTTACAAACTCAGGCAGTTACACAGAGGAAAATGGAAATGTGAGGTTCCGCTATAAGGTATAGGATGTCTTTGCTTTCTTCAACTTATTCCCATACTCTCGTTTCAACCCAAATACACCAACCAATAGTGACAAACAGAATCTAAAGCGAATAGCAACAAAGTTGCTCGTAAAAAAAAAGGGATTGAAACTACTTTTGGGGTTGTGAGCTTGAATAAGTAAGGCAGCCTACCAAAGGAAACCATGTACTCTTATAATGAGCGCAAGTAACAAGCAATCACGCCAGGATTAACTTGAAAAAATTGACATTTCTTGTAGTTTAACAGATCTGAAACAGTACATTTCAGTTCCACTACGCAATACAACATGAATTAGAAAAATTTTTTATTGTGGCTGTATCGGCCGAGCACCGCACATATAACAATACGTTATACAACAACCTCTATTACATTCAAACATGTGGTGGAAAAACTAGAACAGAGCTGAGCGTCAGTTTACACAGAATACTGTCAGGACAGAGGCCAGAAAAAACCTGCCGGAAAAAACCCCAATAGGGAAAACAAAAAACTCGGCAGGAAATCGGGGTAGGATCCATGGCTCATGCACTGAAAAGCCCATCCTACGAAGGCTACACGGCTGGAAGATCTTTGCCCTTGTTTACAAACATGTGTTCCAACAAAGCACGGAAAGCTCTAAATAATTTTAGTAAACGCAAACAAGCTAAGAAGCCCCTGCGAAACTCGATCTGTCACTAGTAAATCAAATATATACTATAAATTAACGTGAGCAAGACGAGGTGTCGGCCTAGAATGCTTTCTGTGATAAACATCCCTTTTAGAACACTCTATTCTGCCCATGCTGCACTTCAACTGCCCCAATCCCCACTGCTCCCGTACCGCAGAAATATTTCATTTCCGACTAATTCGATTCGTATCCACTCAAACGCCGGAAATTCCATTTTCTCTTGAATCCTTCGTAACATTTTTTTCGATTTAGATAATAATATTATTATTGTTATCACAATAACTTATATTTTTGTCATTATCATTATTAGTGTCGTTCTTGTTAATGATCATTTTTCTTATTTCTTATTCACTGTTCCATTTGGCATCATATTAACCGATTTTGTTTAGTGACAAAATATATAGCTGATATGTAGCATATGTTTAAGATAGGTGAATTCGGTCATATTTTGTTTTATTTTCTCCGCCCAAGAAGGACTACATCTGATGGAAGAGACATCTAGGTTAGGTTATTGGGCTCATGGAAAGTGTAACTTCACTGGCAAAAATGCACCTGTTAACGGAGAGATATTCGGCCGCAAAACTGGTCCTGAAAGTGGACACGTGCCTAAGAACTCTCTTTTTTGGAAAATTGAATTAAAACTGAATGGGTGCGATTGTCGTCGAGATGCAAGTAACAGTCGATGTGCATTTTTAAACTAACTTTAGAGGACGATAACGATTCACTTGACGATAACGCACTGTAAAATTAAAGTTTCGTGGTAGTAATATCACCAAGAATAAGCAAATTGGGTAAATTTAAAACATTGTCTTCGTTTTAGCTCTATTAAGTATAATCGCTTCGTTTCTAAGCAGCATTTCAATACGAGTTCAAGTTGCAGCTCTCTCGGAGTTTGCTTATCACTGTGATTATTTTTTATTGCTGAACTTGCCAACTGAGCGTTTTCCTGAACGGGTGTTTCAACTTTCTTTATATGAAATTTTGTTTCTTTTATGGCTTTCATCTACACATCTAAAGCTTAAGAACGAAATCACCAAATGTGAGGCCGGCTAACAGCAGAATCAAAATTATGCGAGTAGCTTGAACATTTCATATTTACGTTGGATTGATTATATCGCGATAAGACGCAAAAGTCGCAATCAACGATATTTATGCATTGTGGAAGGTGTTTGTGGAAGATTAACCGCATGTTTATTTATTAACGGACGAATAAGTATTTACCTTGTTTAATTCAATGAGCTCTACGTGCACTAAAAGAAATATGGAAAATGATTACAATAATAATATACGATATTATCGTTGATAAATGTGAGAGGAAATGTTTTTAATGGAGTGGAGAATACCCGCCAGCATTGAAACTTAAGGATCCCTGTCCATTCATTGAGATTAAATGGTCTGAATATTGACCAGTATTGCCTTTCAAAACCTAGGTAGAAGTCACTGGGGGTTTTTCTCATTGTAGGGGTCGTGTCATCTGAAATCGCGAGGGCGGTACACATGTTTTTACTATAAGCAAAAAGTTGACCAGTCTAGTTTTTATCTATCATGTGCGTGCTTCCGTTTCGCGACCGTACTAACGAGATGACAATGGGAGTTGAAAGAATCATTTTTGTACATTTTCCAAATAGTTCATCGATAGCATGAAAAGGCAATTTGTTTCTTATAAATAGGCCACTAGCTTATCTCATTTTCCATTTTATTTTTTTCCTTTTCGATATGTGAATGATGGCGACTAAAAATGCCATTTCCAAATCCGTGGGTGAACTTGACCGACTTCGCTAGAGTATTATTAAAATTGGATATGTCACAACGTAAAGCACAATGTGCCCATTTTTTCCTAACCGCGGCAAATTTTTGTGAAAAAGATCTCAGTCTTTACATGTAACGTTAATTATTAGTCACCAGTCTAAAAAATTCATCCCAATGCAAGCGATCAAATGTACCATAATGTTTAGCTGGCGGAGAATAGAACAGGTGCATCATTTTTCAGCAGATTTTGACTCCCCCTGACGTAACAAATGATGAGTTCGATCTCTCTGTCTACCAATGGAGGAAATTTTAATATACCCGTTTTGCATCAACTTAATATTTCATACAAATGTTTTCCATGAGCGATTAATAAAGGTACAAAATACGAAGATTGCCTCAGCAAAAAAAAACTCTGGAAACAATTATCAATAAACGTTGGAAAAAAATTCAAGACTTCTGGATATTATGTTAAAGACAAAAATGGCCACCAACACTTTCCACCAAAAAGCTACGATCACACCACCTCTGTCTCAAAACAATTCGGCGATTATGAATCACGTATAAATCATAACCTGATGATAAAACGTCTTGTATCATACAATTTTGTTGAACGACAAAATTTTCGAAAATCCGAAAATCTTTTGAAAAATAACTTTTTGGCATATAGGTCTTCGTCTTCGCTGTGAACAATACCACGATCGAAATAAATATTCTATTTATTTCCTTTTCTTTATTCAAAAATTATTTTACTAGGCAGAAAAATGCGAAAGAAATCATCATTTGAAAAAGAAATTGTTAGAAAAAATGCATAAACTTACCTTATGGTTTTGCTGTGAGTCTTGTTAATATACCTCTTAAAGAATGATGGTGCAATTAATCATAAGCTGTCGTATAAAACGAGGTCAGACAGAAAGTTATGCGCACATTACTTAGTCAAAAATAAACCGTCATACGAAACGACCTTTTTTATAAGTAGAAAACGACTCACCGAACGTTGTATGACGAAATTGAAAGTTGGAGTGAAAAGTTCCTGATGAGCCAAAAGTTGGACAAGATCAAAGAGCCAATGCCTGTTTCTGGGCTAATGGTAGACTGCTTTATCATCCAATTTGTGAAACAGTATCCGGTAGAATCGAGAAATAAATAAAAACAGAAAAAGGTGCGTAGACGCTGAAGATGAATTTGAGCGGGTAAAAGCTCTTTGCGTATATGATAATCGTAAACGACTGGGACCAGCTGTATTTTTTTCTAATATTTTATTTGATATGTATATGTATATATATATGTATTTATAGAACTAAAAATAGACTTTTTTATGCCATTGAGTTCAAACCCCACCGGTTTCACCTTCTATCGCCTTTAAGATAGATAACTCCAACATTCAGAAATTGAGCCTTTGTATGGTTTGAAGTTAATACCTCATACATTTCTTAAAGCCAAGAACTTTTTCTCAGTGATAGGGACGGCCATAATTCAGTTGTCATCTGACCATCTGAATATATGCAATGTGTGTGCAGATGGTGGGTCAGTGCGTCATTCGTCCATTCAATTTTCGTTTAAAGTAAAAAAAATTGAAAATTAATGTCAATTTTCTTTTTCTCGTTATATTTTATCATAAAAAATACGAGTGCCAACTCGAGAATATTTGACTTTTTTTTCCTTTTGGTAGAATATTGAAACATAACTTATATTTTTACTATAATCCTGTCAACAATGAAGAGAAAAATTGAAAATGAGCAGTCTGTGACATGTCTAAGTTTTTCTGTTTTCGGCGGAAGTCTAAAAATTGAATTTAGAAAATTGCAATCCATGTTCAATTTTTGTTTTTCGGCCAAAACACTCCAATCGTTGACAGAACTACCCAAGAGGGAGGGGGAGGTGTCCATTCTTACTGTAATTTTTTTGTCCCTAGCGCCCTCTCCCCAGATCCACCTCCCTCTATGCGCTGAGAGATTTTTTTTGGCCCTGCCCCCCCTCCCCCTCCCCTCCTACGCTACACTTCTCTGGAAAGGAGGAAGCGGGAAATTCGTATTTACCGCGTAGTTACTTCTCCAAACATGAACGACTTCAGTGCTGAGTACATAAAGGATCTTGTAATAACTCAAAGAAAAACACAGTCCGAGGTGAGCTTATTTCTAAAAGAAAGATTTCCCAGCAAGAAAGACCTTAGTTCGAAGTCAGTTAGGAGGTTTTGTTTTGAGAATGGGATAAATTTACACAACCGCCTGTCTAATGACGAGCTGGAGCAGTGTACGCGGGACGTCGTTGCTCGGTTAAGTTTACGTTTATTAGACTGAAGTGTCTGTTGTTCACTATTTTCTTCTTTTTTCTACCTTCATTTGCTTGTTTGTATAGCCGT